TCTTAACTCTCTCGTCTCAAACAGGGATTCTCAAACTTCTTTTACAGTTCTTGTTGGTTTGAGGAGCCACCCTAGGTCTGAGAAAAGAGACTGGGGTTGGGGCGAGGGGCAGAAACCAAGTCCTGTTCCTGGAATTATGGGCTTTCCCCCCTTTACTGTTTATCTATTCTGTACCACTCAGCTGTTCTCTGTTGCACAGAAATAAAAGTTTAGTTTAAAAAGTATGTTAGAACAAAGCTGCAGAAATTGCCTGGAATTTCCTTCATTTTCAGCCATCTGGCTTTCATTGCTTACTTCTTTCCCCTCCTCCACATACGTTTACCAAATCTTTTCAACACACACTGGCCAAGCTATCAAATGCTTATAATTAATAACAGTCATGCTCTTTTTTTTTTTTTAAAGGTAGTGCTTTCTGGCTTTCCTTGGGCTGTTCATGTCATTGCTAGTATAAACCAGGGAGATGGTCAGGAAAACTTAATTATTAAGACTTAGTTGAATAAGTGAGAAAATCTAATCAAATTTAAGTCCTGAATACAAAAAAATGATGTTTTATTTCAAACTAAAAGTATTTCTTGCCAAGAAATGAAAGAGAAGAAAAAGAGAATTTTTCTGAGTTCCCACTATGATCCTATTTTAGAGATGAAGAATCTGAGGATCCAAAAAGGTATATAAGCTCTTAAAGGTCATGTAGCTAAACCTAACAGAGCAGTATCTGAACACAGGTTGGAATCTATCTGCTGGTTTTTATTTTGGTGGTCTCAGGGATGGGAAAGATTTTTAGGACATATTATTAAGTGAAAAATCAAGTTGCCAAGTCATATATATATTTATAATATGATCCAAAGGGAAGAAAATCTCATGTATTTGTTCATGTTCATATATGTATATATATTCATAGAAAAGGGTCTGGAAAGGTATGTACCAAATCACTAACATGGTTATCTCTGGGGAGAAGAAGGTTCTGGAACTGTAGAGCATGGTGTGAAAAGGGGATATATGTCGTTCTTCTTTGATTACTTCTGCTATGCTTGACTTTTAAAGAATGAGAATATTCATGTAGAACAACTTGCATAATTATAATACTCAGAAAGCTTTCTTATTGGGAAAAAGAGTCCAACCTGTTTCCTAATGACTGATTTTAGTTCCTTTTTGGACATTTTTCCCTTAAAGTGGCCTAACCCACCCAGGAAGGTGAGCAGGGTAGAGGGGCTTCTAGACACCAATTACTCAGATGGTGGTAAAGGTAACTAAAATAATTTTTCTTCCTTGTAATTATATAGCCTCTTGCTATCAACGTTGATGCAATATTCTCATTGTCAGCTCACGAATAAAAATGGTCCTAACTTCTCACCAACTTTAGGCAAGGTTGTTAAGGGAGATATACTACTTTCCATCTCTCCCGACAAACTCCTCCCTGGGTAATGCTAACAAGTCACTCAACCTCCATTATGTCCACTCTCTCCTCTATTACAGCTTGCCCTCTTACTCTTATTTTGGGGAGACTTTGCTATCCGTGGCTGCTAACATAAAGGATTACTTTTCCTAAGTCTGTTTATGTTTTGAATTGGTATTTAAAGCCTTACAGTTATAGAAGGGACTCTAATAATGGCACTTTCAGCATCATCTGGTGGGTGGAAGAGAGGGGATAGGTGGATGGACAGCAGAGATAGCACTGGTGTCTTCCCAGCTATCATTAATACTCGGATCTAAATATTACTCCTTATACATTTGGTCCTGTCCGTTATGCCCATGTATTCAATAAACACTTAATAAGCCCCTGCATTGTATCAAACATTATGCCAGGTGCTAGCTCCACAGAGAGGAGGATTTGGACATAGAGCTGATAGCGAGGGCTTTAAAAGATAGTCCTCGTCAATAGGTAACTACTATTTTTTTAAAATGCCCTAGAAATGGAGGCAGACCACGCTCATGCACACACGCGAGCGAACGCGCACACGCACGCACACACACACACAAATTGAAACAATCAGAATACCTCCAGCTTGAAAATACCCTTGTTGCTGTGGATAGCTGGGTGGGAGACCATATCTGTCTAAACCTGGAGAAAGTTGGACACGTGCTTGTGATACCAGCCTTGCCATCCACACAGAGTAAATCAGGAGAAGGTACATTTAATCTCGGCAAGACAGCCCAGATGGGACATGCCCTCTAGGCCTATGGCATTCTTCATGGGATCGGACAACCCTGACCACACATGAAAGAAAAAGTAGCTCCCTGACAACTGCCTGGGAAAGCTCCTGCTCTTAACCAGTGGCCACCTCTCAGAGACGTATACCCAGTTACCAAGACTAGAAACATCATTTCTGTTTGTCCCAGAGAAAATGCTATGGCGTTTTGAACACATGGACATCAGCACAGACCAAAAGCCCATCAGAGGACTCCCTAAAATGTGCAGGGAACAGTCATCCGCGCACAGTAAAAATTGTGAATTAGGGGCGCCTGGGTGGCTCAGTCGTTAAGTGTCTGCCTTCAGCTCAGGTCATGATCTCAGGGTCCTGGGATCGAGCCCTGCATCAGGCTCCCTGCTCAGCGGGAAGCCTCCTTCTCCCTCTCCCACTCCCCCTGCTTGTGTTCCCTCTCTCGCTGTCTCTCTCTCTGTCAAATAAATAAATAAAATCTTGAAAAAAAAAAAAAGAATTGTGAATTAAAGATTTAAATTACTCGCCACCTTCTAGAAGGTGCTTGGGAAAACCACAGTCTCTTATGTCCCTACCAAACCCATTTTCTCTTCCGTGTACATCTTACACCTACTTTCCGAATGAGTGATGGTTTTCCCCTGACATCATACTGAAATATCTCACAGGAGATGCCCCTCCATACGTCTCTCACTTTTAAGAAGAAAATCTGACTTTGGCTCTTTAACACCAGATGAAGAGAATGAGTCATCTCAGGCCACTGTACATTGGCCCTCTCTGTTGTTTTAATTAGCATCAGTCTACAAACACTCAGCTGTGGATGGTTGGTTTAAGAAACCCCGGCTGTGCCCTGTAAGAGCGGTCTTGCCTGTCAGTCTGACGATTGGCTGGTGGGAGATCAAAGCACTGAGTTTATCTGGAGCAAATGCAATAAGTTAAGCCTAACAAGAGTCCTTGTCTGGGAGTCAATATAAAGGTCGTAGAGTAAATTAAGCTCATCTAATTTAACTGTGCTGAGTACTTTGAGGATGGGAAGTAACACCTTGTGTCCTATTCCTTCTGCTGCCCGGGAAGAACTGGATTTAGTGGCTGCAAATCCGACAAGATCTTCAGCTGGTCCCGGGTGCTGACTCCTCAGCCCATCACAGCACTTGGATGTCATTACAACCCCGGGATGTGGTTAGACACTTAGGCTTGTTTTTAAAATCACGGTAAATAAGCGGAACAGAAATGACATCAATTATCAGCCCACAGCAGTAGCTGTCCAGTTCGTCTGCCTATAGACTAACAAAGAGTCATGGGATATTTGAGCAGGATGTGGTGACCTCAGATACAGCCTGTTCGTTTTGCAGATGTGGAAACAGAAAGGGCGGCCATCTTGCCCAATGCCACACAGCTGGTGGGTGACAAAGCTCGGAGGAGAACTGCTGGACCTCCTAGCCAAGGACCTTACAGGCTGTCCATGCCAAAACCACTCCGCTTTTTCCGATTTGGGGAGAAAGAATGTAGTCAAACCAAAGGGGTTAGTATCCCTTGCCTGGACAATTAGGCTTGCCCAACTGGAGAATGGTGAGGTTAGGTTGGAGATGTGGGACCAGGTCAAACAGGGATAGGAAAGAGGCTTCTTGGGATTCTATGCACTGGATCTAGTTTTTTCTGGGTCTAGCCCTTGACTCTATTCTACTGGCCGCTGTTCTCTGGGTGGAGTGCTTCTCCAGGCAATGGCTGGCTGCTTTTCTGGATGCTATGGAGATGGCCCCGGTAGTTCTCCTCCCTTCTGCATCGGAAAGGGGACACCAGGCCCACCATTCAGATCAATCTAAGGGACATCTCTGTGACCAGCAGAAATGCCCTGGCTTATAGTCTGTACCCTTTAAGTTCCAAAGGAAGGGTATTTTGCTGACTGAGAAATAAGACAAGCCGCATCTGCAAAATACTGTCTGTTCCGCTTATTTACTGTGATTTTAAAAACAAGCCTAACTGACTTTGCCTAACGCATTGCTTCTTCCATGTTACTTCGCAGAAAGAGAAGAACTATCGTTCAGAAACAGCATTCCCTTTCGTATCTAGGATATGACCTTATCTTATAACAGTCTTCATCCCATCCGCAGACTTGAAAGTCTGGCTCTGGTTCTTGAACATCTCCCTTTGAAACCAGAATCATCGATAAGATGGTTTAGCTTCCACAGAGATTTGTTCCAAAGAAGTCTCTGCAGGCAAGTCTCTCAAGACACCATAAAATTGTGTGGACTAAAGCAGTGATTGGATTGATTTGCTAAGACTCAAGGTTGGGTAAAAAAGAGACCCAGGCAGGACCGAACAATGAAATGCTCTAATTGATTTTATGCATGTGGAATGACACACATACACTCCAGAGCATGCTATAATGAATCTGCATGCTGTGTGCATACAGATTTCACAGTGGATCCATTATACCACCCAGTCACTCCAGCTTCTTATGCCCTGCAACCCATGAGCCAATCCATTACTATGGTGTGAGGGCTTGGGACCCAGGCTAAAAGTGGCAGAGACCCTGAAGCCTGTGGTTGCTTCACGTTCCCTTCAGGAGGCAGCAGCAGTGCGGCACGTGCACATTCCGGTCATGCCACGGGGCTCATTTCAGTGCACAGAGCCTTCTGGACCCTGAGCATGACCACTGGGCTGGAATTCCAAAGCCCTGGTTTCAATTAAATTTAAGTGGATTTGACTAAAAGTTTGAACTGATGCTAATTGGTTTTCAAAACACTGGGTTTTGAACAATAAGCGTTCTGGTCTTGCCCACAGACAGAGGCACCCCACTCTGAACACACTCCTGGGTAGCAGGGCAGGCACGGCGCCCCTTACCTGGCTGGGCAGGGATCCAAACTGCAGGACTTGAGGAGCCGTGGGGGCCGGCGGCTGGTCACACACAGGTTCTCATCAGCAGGCTCCCGCGTCTGTTTGTTCAGGCAGCTCACCACAGCCTCCTGGACACCTGCGTACAAATCACACTGTCAGGCCAGAGTGGGCGTGTGTGGGGTGATGAAGTGTAGACAAGGCAGCTGGTGGGAGGCCTCTGTGATTGGTAGGGCTCTTGCTGCATGTCAGAGATTGCAGCGTGAAGCCCAGGGCTGCCCATCTTGTCAGCCATCGCTCCATCAGGGAGAAAGTACTCGTGAGCTAGTGCCTCTGTGAAGGTGCCCCTGGAGGAGGGCAACTTCCCTCATGGGAGAGCTTGCACCAGTACTGATGAAACGCTTTAAGAAAATGCCACCAAATTCACGGAGCTGCCAAAGCTGAGATGTGATAATTGAATGCAGGAGGACAGCAGGGTGACAAATAAAAAAAAAAAGTCCCAGAGACCTTTACATGTTATGTTTTAATCAACAGGCGATTGTTGTATTTGGAAGGGAGGTCAAGAGCTACGTTTTAACATCCAATATCTTGTAAACTGCTGTTCTCTTGGGGCCTCGCAATGGGGACGCCAATCTTTGTTGGTTTCCTTTTGATTCTAGTTCATTTCTTTAGTGACCTGGGCAGCTTTGGAAATTGGAACAAAGGAAGAGAACAAGGTGTTCAATGACTATCCATGAAACACAATCTTCTCTACATCCATGGGAAACAATGTTCCCCCTGACACTTGCATGTCTCAGATACAGAGCTAGGAAAACAGGAGTTTGAGCAGTGACTGTGGTACAGGATTACTGGCAAGTCTTTCCAGGTGGTGTGCAGGACCCCTTATGGAAACCTTCATGGAGCAGGGAAACATTTAGCTGGGTATAGTAATGACCGGACATTTCCTTCTGGTGCCCACAGTCATAGTGAGAGTCAAAATCCACAGGTTCAAGAAGAAGAAGATAGCAGGAGGGGAAGAATGAAGTGGGGGAAATCGGAGGGGGAGACGAACCATGAGAGATGATGGACTCTGAAAAACAAACTGAGGGTTCTACAGGGGAAGGAGGCGGGAGGATGGGTTAGCCTGGTGATGGGTATTAAAGAAGGCACGTTCTGCATGGAGCACTGGGTGTTATGCACAAACAATGAATCATGGAACACTACATCTAAAACTAATGATGTAATGTATGGGGATTAACATAACAATAAAAAATAAAAATAAATAAACATTATCTAATAATTACCAAAAAAAAATATTCATAAAGATAAGTTATAGTTGTGAAAAAATAGAACCTTTTTACATGTATGAGTATTAGGAAAGGTTGGATAAATTTAATTTTATTTGAGTATTAATTACTTATTAGGACATTGTGAAATATGATTCTAACATATTTGATTCAATTATATGGAAAAAGCAAGATACAATTTGCTTTAAATTGTTTAAAAAGCAAAAGTAATAGGGAAAAAAAATGATGAAAGCATGGCAAAATACAAGTAGTCTTCCCTGGAATTTATAAAATACATTTCCATATTTAAAAAAAAAAAATCCACGGGTTGTACATTATGAGCCAGGTGCCAATGCTGAGGGCATGACACGCACCATGCAATTCTCTCAACAGTTCCATGAGGTAAGCACTATTTTTATATCATTTTACAGAAGAAGGAGACTGAGGCTTAGAAAGGTGGAGGTCATGTAGTTGATACACGGTGAGGCAGTGCCTTAGCACTGAAGCTTTTAATGGCAGCGCTCACATTTAAAAATATGAAGAGGCTGCTTATATTTGCTGGAGATCTTTGGGAATAACCTAGAAATTTGCCTGGGATCATTTCATCAAAGTCAGTATAAGGACGAGGCAAGACAGGACATTCTTGATATTCCGCTTTCAGTCATACATAGCTGTGTATATAAAGATACGTCCATCTAAATATATCTATCTGGAGCTAAATATTTGTATGTGGTTTTGGCAAAGTATGTGACAACACACATAATTAGTTCAAAAATAAATATACATTCTCTTGTTCTTATTTCTGTCTTGGTTTATCAATTAGTACCTAATATAGTACAACTGCTCCGCTCTTAACCCTGCTGCTTTCCTCCTCCCATCTACTCCATGTTTCTCCAAGGAGTTATCACTCCAGTCGACAGCCTAATGCTTTGTAAGGTGATGTGACACTGACTGAGGTCACTAAGCAAGACCACCATTTCAAAAGTGACATTATAAATATTTTATTTATTCATGAGAGACAGAGAGAGAGGCAGAGGCAGAGGGAGAAGCAGGCTCCCTGTGGAGCAGGGAGCCCAAGTGGGGACTCAATCCCAGGACCCTGGGATCATGACTGGAGCCAAAGGCAGACGCTTCACTGACTGAGCCACCCAGGCACCCTAAAAAGTGACATTTTAAAGCCAGAATCTCAATCACCTTTATTTCTTCCCAGAAGTCTGATGAATCAAACATTAAAAAAAAAAAATCGGGGGCGCCTGGGTGGCTCAGTTGGTTAAGCGACTGCCTTCGGCTTAGGTCATGATCCCGGAGTCCCTGGATCGAGTCCCTGGATCGAGTCCCTGGATCGAGTCCCGCATCGGGCTCCCTGCTTGGCAGGGAGTCTGCTTCGTCCTCTGACCCTATCCCCTCTCATGTGTTCTCTCTCTCTCATTCTCTCTCTCTCAAATAAATAAATAAAATCTTTAAAAAAAAAAATCGGTCACAGTATTTACCTTGAGGCCATGGATGTAAATTTTCTTTTTTCTAACCTTTTTATGAGCTTTGAAATTTAAATATATCATGGCCAGTTCAAGGTGGAGCATTTGCGATTTATACTAGACATTCAAGCTACCCCGTTGTATTCTGTAATGCTGGTAACAGGGTGTTTCTCTCTTGGTTGCAGCTGGGATGAGCCATTTGAAATTTATGGTATGATGATATAGGAAAACATTTTACAAGAAATTGTTGAAATCATCATTGACACTTCCCTCTGGAATAGTCTGGCATTATTAAGGTAATGACGACAAAGTGCGGGATGAAGCGAACTCTTCCATACAGAATCTAGAGCTGTGGTTATATTAGAAATTAAGTTTTTGATTCATTTGCCTACCTGGTAATATTCAAGAGATTGTAAATGTTGCTCTAAAATAAAGTATATATATATTTTTTCAGCTACTGAACACTATGAAATTGAGTCGACGACGTCAGCTGGAAGTGATCATAGGTCTTGTTACCTGCCCTACTTGAAAGTGCTTCAGGTGTGGGCATGTGTGAAGGAGGTGCTCTGTTTCTACTTTGTGAATCCCTTGCTCATAGAACTTAGGTCCTTCTAAGACTGTAAAGAACAAGTGTCGCAAGGGCTAAAGTTTCTAGAAGGATGTCAGTATAGTCCTCTCTTAGATACATGGGACACAAATTTATATTACCCCAAACCAATAAATCCCAGCTCAAGAGAAAAATCACCTCCAAGGTGGTTAAGTGCCAAGATTAAGCAGCATTCCAGAGTTACTAAATTTGACCCTAACATATTAATACTAGGCTTCTGACACCGTGTTAAATGGCCACTGCCATAGGGGCCGGTTGCCTAGGCATTCTTAGGTGGGGCCTGGGGTGCTGAGGTAAACTCAGGACAGAGCTCTGTCATAATTAAGGAGTATCTGGGACCAGCCCTGTGGTCAACACACAATACATTTTTGGGGCATGATGAACAAAATGCCTCAAGGGCAGGGCATTCTAAGCATAGTGCTGTTTAGGCCAGGGGAGATGGAAGAGGGATGCCTGGGGGAAGGCGTGTGGAGGGAGGGAGCTGGGGAGTGTGGGAAGTTTCAGGAGGGAGGGCATGTGAAGACCTCACCTGTGAGGTCACAGCATACTTGGCCCAGCAGAGCGGGGCCAGGATGTGAGAAGTTAGCTCATCCAGTGTGTGCCCTTTCCAAGAAGGCTAGTATATGCACTTAGAAGGACATTTTAAACCAACACAGAACACGTTTAAGTACAGGACTTCACGATTTTGAGTTTTCCTTTCTTTTTTTTAATGATTTTTTTTTTTTAATTTATTTATTTGACAGAGAGAGAGAGAGAGCACAAGCAGGGGGAGCAGCAGAGGGAGAGGGAGAAGCAAGGTCTCTGCTGAGCAGGGAGCCTGGCGTGGGGCTCGATCCCAGGACCCTGGGATCATGATCTGAGCCGAAGGCAGATGCTTAACCGAATGAGCCACCCAGGTGCACCAAGTTTTCCTTTCTTGACAGAAGCAAAGGAGAGAGGACTCATAAGGAAGGGGAGTGGCAGGTAAAGACTTCCCCTTTCATTCTTGCCAAAGTAAATTTCAAGTTTTCCCTCAGCTCTATTTTAATGTTGATTTTACCATCTAGGAGTTCAACATAATAAAGCTGTTCAGGTTCAAAGCCACTCTCCTTGACCACACCTATGAGCTCACATACGGGAAATTCAAATATAACAAGGAGATGATAGTGGGACGTGGGACACATATCTGAGCAGGTTAGGCTCAATCTTTGAGAAAATGGGATTTTCAGTGTTTATATCTGCCAGAATAGCATAATTGTTACATGATATTTGATGACAGCTTGGGGAAACAGCCACCAACTCTAGCCTAAATTACTAACTAGTTCCTTCTGGTTGCTACCTCTGCTAGGTGAAAGGTTACTTCTGTGTCTATCCAGTTTCTGCTCTTGAGATAGGGAAGACAATGAAATTAGCCCGACCAGCCTTACGACCCAAAATTGATTTAAAATCTGTTAATCCTCCATGTTTTTGGTTGGTTTCAGCAAGAATGATTAAAATATATATATAACAGTGTGGGTTATATTTTGGTGAAAAGATCAAAGTTGATAATACAATGTTACTGCCAAACACTGACTTCAAAACGTACATGTCCCATAGAGTGAAATGATTTTTTAGTGCATATGGATATCATATGGACCATATAACCCAAGCATATTTTCACCACTTTGGAATTTTCAACTCTAACATTTTAGGTGTAAATATATTACCTTGGCACAGTTACCTAAGTGTAGGTAAGTGTGCACAGTTGTTGACAGTTAAAGACATAAGACATTTCAGTAACTTTACCCTGCCTTGGATGTAAAGGATGTACAATTTATGTTATACAAAGACGCTCAGTTCCTACAGGCAGAGATCAATTGTATATCAAACATCCAAATCTTATTTCCCAATCAGTTATCTTCTAAAAACATTTGAAATTAAAAACATTCCACAGGCTCTCTACACTTTGAGTTTTATACCCCTGGTTGATCAGCAGAATGGTTAGACTCTTTAGAGATAAAGGTATCTGGTTATTGATTATTCCATGGCTGTGTCTAGTTTTTCCATCTGATCATACAGTTCCAGGCTTGACTTGTAACTGAGAATCATAAGTGAGAGACCACAAGCTTTTTTTTTTTTTTCCCCGAAGCACATGATTTTAGACTAGAGATAATGATCGTTCCATTCAGGTGATCATGGAAATTGGGGATAAACCCACACCACCTGAACTCTTGAGTCACTCATTATATTGGAAAAGAGGCCACTGTGGCAATTGGCTGTGGTCTTTCCACTGGATTTCTCAGCTCCTGCCCGGGCTCAGAGATCACCGAAACTTATTTTAAACTTCTTCCCTCGTCAGCACGGAAGAAAAGATCTCCTCAGTATGTGTGGAGCACCCCTTTAGAACAGAGATTAGCCGAGTTCCAGGAAACTCTTCCAGAATCAGATGGAAAATTTTCAGTTTTAAAAATAACAGGGCCCTCCATTAAAACACTTAAGAATTTCACGGTTTGAAACTGGAAGATGCAGAAACAAACAAGAACCTCAAGGTCAAAACTATTAAATGCTCGCTAAAAGATCTGATGGAGAAAACGGATTCTTTGCTCCTATGTACGTGTTCCCCTATTCATTCCTTTTCAGCTGTATGTGAACATTTTGGGCACATGTACTCGTACATTCTCAATAATGACCAAAGACGCCTTTTTAAAAGTTTCCAAAATGTCATGGTTTAGAAAAGAGTTTTGGAAAATATTTTTTTTTATACTGGCTGAGAAACTTCACTGGCAATGCAGAACCTTAATGTGCCAAAAGGGGTTTACTGATAGCCAGGGAGAGGGCGCTGGCAGGAAATTAGCCAGCATTTCCTCACCTATCAGAATCTCTCTTGGGAGCAGACGTGGGAGGCTGTGGCATTATGAATCCGATGTATTTTCTATAGTGTGAGAGAGATCGTAATCTTGAAGAATTCATTGTTGACTTAAATGCCTTCCTCTCCCCCTGCCCCCCAAATCCCATTATAACACCTGAAGTAATGGCTGAATCTGTTGTTACCATTGTGGAATATCCCTAAAGAACCAGGTTAATACACGTGGACACATTTAACATTAATATCCGTAAGGGGCAAGCGTCAGGAATTCTCTAATGCTTAGAGAAGTGTGATGTGCTGGAAAGACTCTAGATAGAGAAATAGATCAATAGCAAGCCTCATCCCAGCTGTCACTCACTAGCTGTGTGATTTCAAGTCACTCAGCTTCTTTGCATCTTTGTTTTCTCATCTGTAAAATGGCGGTGGGGTCAGACTTTAAAGTCCTTTCTGGTTCCAGGTAACCACGGTGTTAATTGCCCTTTTTATACCCTTTGCCCTTTATAAAGAGATACTGCTTCAGGAAATCAGCTGAGTAAATCAGGGGGACTCTAACCTATTCTGGGGAAGAGGAGAATGTTTTGTCCTCTTGGGCCTTGGTCCATACCACATGCGCTGAAGCGAGGACATAGATAAATAAAACTGAATGTTGAGAGCCTTGCCAGGTCAGCGTCAACCGTGTTTCTAAATCAGATACACTGGGATATATTGCAAAACATCAGGATGACAACTGAAAGTCAAAGCATGAGCTGTGCTGGCCACTTGGAGCTGACAGGCTGGGCGCTACTCAAGCCCAAGGAGAAATACATCTGTGTTTCATCCAGTATGCTTTACATTTAGAAGGGCTTCCTCCCGCCCTCCCCCTGCTTATCATTCCTGGACTAGCGGCCGTCACGTGACACAGTCTCCTGCAGGGAGAGAGGATAAAGAAAAAGGACAAGAAGACGGTGGGGCTCTGGGCCAGAGTTCCCCTTCTTACCTCCTCCACATGACTCGGAGCACTTGGTGAAGCCCTCATATTCCCAGTCATAGAGCTCGTCAAAATCCTGCAGGCCACCCAAGAGGCCATCTGTCTCTTCTGGGTTCAACGCAGGCACTTCCCCGTGGCATGGTCCTGCATAACAGGCACGCTGGGATGCTGGCTTGGGCCCTTCACATTCGTCAACAGGCAGGTCAGCCACGGACTGAGAGAAAGACAGGAGCACCTGGCACCTCACCATTCGTACCTGGGTCCCCACACCACAGGTAACCGTGCAGGCCGACCAGGCTTCGGGGATGAACCTGCAGTCAGCAAGCAAACAAGAGGACAGGATGAGGAGCCCCAGGCATGAGACCGTGGGGGCTGCGGAGGGCGGCATCCCACCTGTCGCCATGGCCCAGTGCTGTCCTGGGATGCGCTCAGGGCTCTGCCACCCTGTCCTGCGATGGGTGCTTCAGTTTAGTTCATGAGCTCATTTGCCACGGTTTCTGGGTTGGTTTTTTGGTGTCATATGAACTCCCAGCTGGAAGCCACATTCCAGCGACAGACCACCTGCTTTCTCCCAGCCTTGCACCCACAGTGCTAGCTCTTCAGAGCAGGGAATCAGTGGTTTCTTCTCGCTCTCTTTAAATCCCAGCACTTGTGCCTTCTGCAAGACGCTGGTTATTCTTATAGCAGACTAATACTGATCCTAAAAACTATCACAAAATAAGCCCTTGGAGATATTTAAGGAGTGTTTTTTTTTTTTTTTTTTTGGTCTGGCTCTCATATTCTGTAACTTTCTTTTGCTTTTCGGCTCAATGTGCTTCCCAAGATTTATTTATATATAGAAAGGGGTTCTTTTTTGTAAGGTTCCAAGAATGGAGTGAAGTCTTGTTCCTCACACATTCTTTGAATTAGTCTGGACTACAATTCTTTTTATATCATAGAGAAAAGCCATGCTACAAATTTAAATCCACAGATGTGTCACAGTAAACGAGAGATTCTGCATTCGTACAAGTTTGTTCAACAGCCCCCTCTCCCCCACCCCCTGAGAGAAGCCACACTAATGAGAATTTGGTTTTTCTCTGAGTTTCTCTATAATGTAGGACAATATGCAAATTCCAAAAAAAGACTTTCCCTCCCACCAATCAACAACGGCCATGACTGCAATGACCTTGAGAGGGACCTAGGGAAAAAAGCCCAGAGGGAACCACTAACATTTTCAAAAAGTTAGTATAATAATCTGGAAAAAGAACTTTGGAATAAGAAGTTTTTATTTTTCCACGATCCTACGGCTTTCTCAGAGAGTCGTGCTGTGGAGGCATGCAAACCTGGTCCCCTAACCTTGACTTTGGCAGAAAACGAAAGAACTGATAAGAAGATTATAGCATTAAATCCTAGCAAGTGCAAATGGTTCAGATCTAGTTTAAGGAAATAGAAATTCTAGCAGGAAACCAATCCAAATTTTCAAATTGGAAGGATCATAACAAAGATGTTTCCTGGGCCTGAGCCGGGGCTGTGCGTGGAGCTGGCCAGGACAGCCAGACTCCCCCGACCCCCAACAGCTCATGCTGTCTGAGCCATGAAGAGCCATCCCCTAGGAGAGAATGAAGGTCACATACAACCCTGTCAGGAAGGTGGATGAGGGAGGAAGAGCCATCCAGAATTATTCCCAAGAAGTTCTCATCACAATGTTACTTCCCTCTTTTGTCTTTAATGCTTGATCTATCTTCCGGCACCCAGAGAACATGGGGGGAGAACAGTACCCTAAAAAATTAAAACGTCTACTTCTCATTAAATAATGCTACCTGTAGGAGCTTTTTATAAAAATAAAACCCGACTCTGCAATCAAACTAATTGTAACCCTCTTATTTACACATTCACATATATCTGTCTGGCTCCTGGAACAAGAATTACGACAAATACACAAACACCGAGTGTTACAACCCAGGTGTAGACATAAAGGAAAATGCAAACTAAATGATTTTGTATGTAAGAAAAACCCAAAAGCAAATGAAAGGTCCGCCAACCTTGACAATAGTGTGTGAATAACGTTTCTTATTTAATAATGTGGTGAATTTTATTTTCAAATAAAAAACTGACAGGATCTCAAAAAGCACCACACCCTATTAGCTTTTCCTATGCTGGAAGAATTATTGTTCTGTCACCTCTAACAGCCATCTTCAGAGACCATTACAAGACAGCAAGGATCAGCTAGCTTTTTGGGTAAAGGGCCAGATAGAAAATATTTTAGAGTTTGTGGGCCCTGTTTGTGGGTCTTTGTTGTTGCAACAATTCAACTCTGCCAACATGCTGTGAACACAGTCATAGACAATATGTCAGCAAATGGGTGTGGCTGTGTGCCAATAAAACTTTATTTATAAAAACTAGAGGGAGGGTGGTAGTAGAAAGGTCTGAATCTGGCCTGTCAGCTGTAGTTTCCCAACTCCTGCTATAGGACCTTGAGTGGAGATACCAAACACACCAAGATTCATAAATGATCTTCAAACTCATTTTAAGTCTTAGTTCCCATCTTTTCCATATATATAAGTTTCTAAGAGTGGCAAGCAGTTAAATTGATGTATGTTTTATCTTCCAAAGTGAGGCCCAGATGAAAATCTAGAATATAAATGATCCACAAACCAAACCCTCAGCTCTCCTTGCCTAGCATGTCAATCACTTTGCATTTGGTCTCATTCCAGGACCAGGAAGATATATCAAAAGCACACAAAGTAGAAAGGGCACATTACTGGAGCCTCATGAACTCACTGCAATGCTTGATTCTTGTTTACTCTGAAGCAGCATTTCAGTGAAAATAAGTGTGTGTGTGGGCACACACACGTGCGTTTGTCTATTTTTTATTATCTGGACCTTTAGGGTTAATAGCAAAAACAATAAACATCAATTTTAGGTCTCCCAAGTGAAAGTCTTATCAAATGTCAAATAGCCTTTCTGGCTTATCTCCCAATCCACTATCCTCAGGTCTTCATCAAGTTCACACCAATTAAAAATGATTTGGCTTTTAAGCAATGCTGTCTTTTGGCAGTCATCTTAATTTCTCTAGTGCATATACTGTATGATATAATATATTCTCTCTTGTTGAAGGCAGGAGATCCTATTTCAAAAGAAAAATATCTATTAGAGCAAATGGCCAAGTGAATAATAATTGTTTTTCATACGAAACTTTCCCCCATATCCCTAGATCTCCCAACTCTGTGTTTACTATCTTGAGCTTTCTGGCCACAAGTGGGAAGAAGCAAGGTCAGTTAGAGGGCAGGCAACTGAGCTAGGACGTCTCAGTGTAAGGCTTAGGAGTCTCGGTTTGACTAGTACTTGCTGAGCTAGAATCCTTAAAGTGGGACCTTTAAAATGGAGTCAGTAGGTTTTTTTTTTTAAACATCATTTTGATGTACAAATGTTTCAGTGAAAAGCTCCTACTATTGAAGTTTAATTTGGGTACTTTTAAAGTTCTTTTTGTTAGCACTGTTGGGGGATGAATGCAGAATGACTGGATAAGTGAGTTCTTTCAGAGAAGGGCTCGAACTTCAGAGAAGACCGATAGCATTTCTGCATGTAGTCTTCCCATCTCCAGGAAATTAAAAAAGAAACCTGGCAAATAGATGATTTATGCTTCTGTCTGGTCTTCAATTTGCAAGCTTAATTGTTTATTTCATGAGCAAAAAGCTTATCCTTTCATTGGAGTTATTACCATAGTCCCTTTTATGAAACAGAAAACAGTGATAATCAAATTCACTTGTAAAATCCCAACGTGGTTTAGTTTATATGTGGCTATTATGAAGTCAGAAGCACAGACCAAAATAATAAGAACAATCACTTTATTAATATAGTGCTAAACAGAAACCATTCACTCTTGGTTAATTAATCTCGTGTCACTGCAGATCTTAGCCAGAGTTTGGCTCCAGTTTTAGGTACACATGGTCTATAACTAAGTTGTTTTTTGTTTTCTTTTAAGTAGGCTCCATGCCCAATGTGGGGCTTGAACTCACAACCCCGAGATCAAGAGTCACGTGCTCTCCTGACTGAGCCAGCCAGCCTCCCCTAAGATTTTTAGCTTTATCTTTTCTACTCTTATTTTCCTCTCCTTTCTCATATACATGTTTGTTCATTTAAAAAATCATTGGGATTATTCAAAAGAATAACTTTATAGGGGTGTTATTGTAATGCTCTTACCAGCCTCACCTCAGTCTCTAGTTTTAAAACGCAAACTAAAACTTGCAGGTAATCACATGAGAAATACTTAGGGGCACCTGGGTGGCTCAGTTAAGCGTCAGCCTTTGGCTCAGGTCACAATCCCAGAACCCAGGATCGAGCCCCATATTGGGCTCTCCACTCAGTGGGGGGTCTGCTTCTCCCTCTGAACATCCTCCCTCTTGTGCTGCTCGCTCTCTCTCTCAAATAAATAAATAAAATCTTTAAAAAAACTTTTTTAAATTTTATTTTGTTATGTTAGTCACCATACATCAGTAATTTTTGATGTAGTGATCCATGATTCATTGTTTTCATATAACACCCAGGGCTCCAAATTCTTAATTTTGATTTAGTTTTCGATCTTATTAAATTTCAGCTAGATGTCAGATAGGTTTTGTGGATTTCTTTGCCCTCTTTTTTTTGGTGTATGCTTGGGTATGAGAGTGGTGGCAGGATCTCAGGGTGAGGAGAGAGGAGGGAATGAACTGAATAGTGGAGGGGAAATGATAAAAGGCTTTAAGATGCACCTAGGAGGTTAGTGGGCGCCCTGTCAAGTGCCTCCTTCCTAGTTACTGCAATCGTGCATTGACTGTGAGCTATTTTACCACTTTGCCCACAGAAATGCAGATTAATTGTATCTAGTGGAATGCAATTGCTGTCCTGTGGACAGACCCATTTTACATCTACTTGTAAATCCATTCCAGCATCTTATTTGCCTAAGTATGTATGGTTCTTTGAAATTTCCTTTGAATTGGTCGGAACATCTTCCTGATACTCTCATTAATTAATGAGGTAGACAAAATCTTGGACAGATGTTCATTTTAGAAATGCAGGAGAATCATGGCTTTTCCCCTTCTAAAATTTTATCATTCAACTAGTGGCCACAGAAGGATCTGGAAAATAGTATATTAGAAAAATAAAAATACTGTATAAGTAATTCCACCCCACATTAACCAGAGAGTCTTTTACATAAATATATCATTTGGGGGCAAAAAAGTCACCATACTTTATTGGTAATGATGCTGTTTTTCTACATTGACTCCTCTATTTTGAATGCAATCTTCTTTTCTCTGTTCTTTTTCTTTAGTTTGAAAAGTTGGTTCTCCTCCTG